TGATTGGCCATGTCGGGTGGTAGAGGGTTACGACACATTTATAAATAACGCGATCTAAACCCAAAAACGTTGATTATGGACAACTAGCTTCATCAGGCGACAGCCTTTACAAGCTCCCAAGACGCCAAATATAATGGCGAGCAAAGCCGAGAGCGAAGCGAAGAGCTTGAAACAGCACTGCCTGATGAACAGCGTGCCCGGCCGTGGTAAAAGAGACACGAACGCAACTTGACCGGAGTTTTCTCCGCTCGTTTGGAGAGTGACTCCTTCTCTCAAGGCCGTATGGTTTGCAAGTGACCATAACTATGTTTATTTAGGGTCGAGCACCAATTTTCCTTTTTGTAATTGGCAGATGGGGTTGGGCAGCGTATTGCGTCAAAAGCGACATTTGCGTAAAAACGAACCTTTGATGGGAAATTGCCCTGGGAGTGTCGCAAGAAAATAATAAATACACCCCCGGCTAAATTTATGGAGTTTGTAGTAACTCGTAAAAATTATGTAAACAGCACCAAAGAGAGCTAAAGGACCTGTGCCGTACTTGCTACAACAACTTGGACATAAACGTTACACGAATCTGGTCATGACGCTCGCGCGTTCAAAACAAGCCATTAATGAGGACCATGAATATTGGATTCTTTGGTTCTTTCGGTAAAGTCACGTAGATAGGTTCAAAGAAAATAACAAAAACTACGACGTTTCGATCGCAACACAAGCGGTCGTCATCAGGAAAAGGAGTATGAACCTAAGTTATGGGATGCAATTCAACAAAACCATCAGGTGGCCCGACAAATGTGCGTTGTACGCATCACTTGAACATGCTGTGAGTTATGGGGGAGGGCATAGCAATCAGAACGTTTCGTTTGAGAGAGACAGACTGAGAAACGCACACAGATCACGGGAGAGGCACAAGTTGGGACGATATATCCACCGAGTGAAGTGGTCTTGGACAGGACTCGCCGCTAAACGGGGATGATGGCCATGGTTGAGACTGACGGCGGAGCTAAACTAAACTCCACAATACAGGTTTGTTGGGGTTAGATCGCGTAAATATAGAAGAGTGTCGTTAAACCCGCCACTACCCGACACAGCCAATTATTAAGGTTTATCACGTAAACAGAACGTGCGTAAATCCATTACTAGTACAGCAGTGTGTTGGAGAGCAAAGCCACGCCATTTACAATCTGAGTACGACGTTTCACCAGTAATTACAACTAGCTTCATCAGGCAACAGCCAGATTTGTGGATAAATCCTTAAATAGAGGGAGAGGTGTGATGACGTCACTCGTGTGGGGGGGGGGGGATTAATGAATGCATATGAATGACTATGGGTATCCATTGCCGTTTGGGTTATTTATATGGTAATCGACCAACATTATGCACGCGCGTTATGTAAGCCCATTATTCTTTTACCTCCTCTCGATGGTGTGCTAAAAATAGCCGTACCAACGGTGATCCCTATTGATTAACGTTGGTAATCCCTATTAATTGGCTGTGTCGGGTGTTGGCGGGTTTAACGACACTTTTATATCTTCTTGGTTCTTTCGGTAAAGTCACGTAGAATGGAAATAATAAAATAATAAAAATAAAGCATATTATGTTTTATTTTTATTATTGTATTATGTTTTCTTTTTATTATTTTATTATTTCCATTCTACGTGACTTCATCGAAAGAACCAAGACGATGAATCCCTGCAGTCACGAAAGCTTTAAATCGAGACACTTGTATATATTTACGCGATCTAACCCAAAAAAAACTATATTATGGATGATATTGATCGCGAAAGCTTACGTGTTAAACTGACTAAACTAAGCGATTTTTTTCTTTTAGCGGGGCAGCTGGCTTAACGGGATCGTCTGTGTAGCAAATCTAAGGAGCTCAAACTCATCATGACTGGTGACTCCACTCTATCACGAGCCTTCAGTGACCCCTGCTGGTAGAGCATTCACCTCCACCCTCATCACAACCGTGCCCATCACCACAACAACCGTGCCCGTCACCCCCATCACAACCGTGCCCATCACCACAACAACCATGCCCGTCACCCCCATCACAACCGTGCCCATCACCACAACAACCGTTCCCTTCACCTCCAGCACAACTGTGCCTATCACCACCACCACTACAACAACCGTGCCCGTCACCCCCATCACAACCGTGCCCACCACCACAACAACCGTTCCCTTCACCTCCAGCACAACTGTGCCTATCACCACCATCACAACAACCGTGCCTATCATCACCACCACCACAACCGGGCCCATCATCACCACCACCACCACAACCGTGCCCTTCACCACAACCACCACAACCGTTCCCTTCACCTCCAGCACAACTGTGCCTATCACCACCACCACAACAACCGTGCCCATCACCACCACCACCACAACCGTTCCCTTCACCTCCAGCACAACTGTGCCTATCACCACCACCACAACAACCGTGCCCATCATCACCACCACCACAACCGTGCCCTTCACCACAACCACCACCACAACCGTGCCCATCACCACCACAACCGTGCCCATCACCACCACCACCCCTGCTGGTGGGGGCACAATTGGGAGAACGCAAACATTGTCCCAAATCAGCACCTCGTCGAGCTTCCCACCTTCCAGCCATGAGTATCAAAACTAGCTAAGGCAGGTGCCATCACGGATGAGAAATATGGAAACTAAACGAATCGCCCAAATGTGATTGCGACAAACCGCAACAAGCAGTCGAACACTTTGTGAGTCTATGGCCCTTTGTATGAGTCTATGATCCTCTATGTGAGTCTATGGTCCTGTATGTGAGTCTATGGTCTTCGACGTGAGTTTATGGTCTTCTACGTGAGTCTATGGTTCTCTATGTGAGTCTATGGGTCTCTATGTGAGTCTATGGGTCTCTATGTGAGTCTATGGGTCTCTATGTGAGTCTATGGGTCTCTATGTGAGTCTATGGGTCTCTATGTGAGTCTATGGGTCTCTATGTGAGTCTATGGGTCTCTATGTGAGTCTATGGGTCTCTATGTGAGTCTATGGTCCTCTATGTGAGTCTATGGCCCTCTATGTGAATCGATTGCCCTCCATGAATCAGCGATCCTCTGTGTAAGTCTTTTGTCCTCTTTGCGAGTGTATGTCCATATATGTGAGTCTATGTTCATCTATGTGAGTCTGTGGGCCTCTGTGTGTGTGTCCGTCCCCACGTAACATGGCCAGGCCGATTAAAATTCACCACATCACCTAGGACGTGCTTGGCAATCATCAGGCGTGTGAAGTTTGCAACCACTTAATTTGTACTTGAACGGAGATAATTTCAGTGAAAATTTAATTGACAATCAAGGTCAAGTAAAACAAAGAAGAGGCTAAGACAATGTCACTCGATACCACCGCGTAATACCATTGGTACTTCTGATAAATGTCGTTGATGTTGACACTCGACCCCTAAAGTCCAAGGTCCACTCACAAGATCACCCATCATCACCACCAGCACCAACATCACGTGACTTTGGGACTTCCCCTTGGTCCAGCGAGCTCTGGGTGCCACCGGTTTTCTCTCCAATAGTTTTAGTAGCAGATGTAATGTGTAGACCTTCTCCCAGCAGATGGCGGTGTTGACTTACTTGTGGTGCTGCAGTAGAGTTGGTGCTCGTGGTCCACCCAAAACCGCACTAAACCATGGCAGTGGATGCGGATACCTGATGCACAATCAATGAAAAACTCTCCAGTGTGCGACTGTGGTCATCCAGAACAGACTGTACAGCATATAACGACGCAATTCCCGATCCACAATTACGAAGGAGACACATCACGGCCATACACTACGCTGCTCTTGACCCGGTCATCCGGCTTGACCACCTGAATGTGAAATTGTAGTTGTTGCTCTGCATCTACATAAGCCGTATGAAAGAAGAAGACGAAGGGGTGTTTGTGGTAACTTCCTGGGTTTCTCACATTGAGCACCGCAGTTAATCTCACGACTCCAGTTTCTGCATCCACCCCAACCTATCCTCCCTTGAGCAAACACGTAACTTTGCCTTAAATAGAACAAAGTGAAACATTGACATTTGGGGTGATATCACTTATTCACAGCACCATGGCCTTTCCTGTGCTGTAAAGAAAGGCCAGTGACAGAAATGTCACCTTTGATATACTTTTTCTTTTTAAGGCCACAGTGCTATTGGCGAATGTGTTGAGTTTGTCGTTAATTGTGCCTGTGCACCACTGCCAAAGCAGCAGTCACAGCATCATCACTAGATATATTGTTTACGCCATTAAACGAGTGTTTCAGTTAGAGGAGTTGCATGCCTTGTGAATAGGAGGTTGGTAAAAAAAAATTGAACCGTAATGATGTGAGTTTGTGAACCTCGGCCTATCGCTCGCCGAACCAAACTAAGGCATTGTAACTTTTTTTGTGTAATTTTATTGGCTTGGCATTGGCAGTGCCTTGCGGCGTTTCATCGAGTAAGTGGTGTGGGAGATGTGTCCGCAGTGTGTTGTGTGACATGTAACTGGTGGACATGAGCGTGTCAATGGAAGTGGTGTTCACGTGGTGTGTATGTGTTGTTTGTGTTAGGTCCTACATAAGGTTATGCATATATACCATATGGGTGTGTATGTACTGTGTTGAATGGAAACTTAAGTAGTGCAACTTTGTACGTGGTTTGTGTGTTGTGTGTTATGTGCTGCGCCGTATGCGCTCTCGCGAGTGGTATTTATGTGTTGCGGTGTGTGGTACATCTTGAACTGTGTTGTATATGTCCTGCACTGTGCGGTATATTTTCTGTGTTGTCTACCGAATGTTCTATCGTGTGTGGTATACATCCTCTGGTCTATAGTCTGTATCGTGTGCTGTGCGGTATATGCCATGTGCTGTATTGTGTACATTCTCGATTGTGTGTGCTGTAGTGTGTGGTATTTGTCCTGCGGTGCGTACTGCGCGCTCCGTGCTGTGTGTTGTGGTGTACAATGTACACGCTGCGGTGCGTTGTGTACACTCCGTGCTGTTGTGTGCTCGCCAGCAGGATGGTTCTGATCCGTCAAGTGCGGCACGCCAAGGTGCCGACATCGTGATGTCTCTACTGAGGGATCGGAGTGCAGCCCTCGCCGGACAGGTCCTGGTGGTGTGAGGAGCGGAGAGAGAGACCGTCGCTTGCGCGGGGACAGCGGGGTCAGGACACTGCGGGAACGCGGGACACTGGAGCAAAGACTGCAAGACCACAGGAGTCACGGACAGAATAAAAACATTAGCATCCCACTGTTTCACAAATGATACTTGCAAGCCGGTGCTGCGAACACCTTGTGCCAGGAAGGGACACTTGCCACTGGGTATTCCCTAGGCTGGTTAGACAGCCTTTTTGTGAAATGGACTGGTCGAGATGACCAGTGAGGCAAGGCACATTTTTGAGGAATTTAAATGCCCTATAAATGTAAATCCATGTTATTCCTTCAATGAGTAAATGCAAAACCAATCAGTGTCTGTGCTTAGTATCATGGGAATGGGAACTCGGGAGCCAGTCTAGGGGAAAGCTGCCCCCCATAAACTTTTGATGAGGGTTGCCACATGCTCTGTCCCCCCCACCCCCCCGACATAGATATGCTTCATGGCCCCCCTTAGCCACCCGACATCATAACATTGACTTCCGACGACGATTCGATTCGAGAATCACATTAACTGCATTTGTATTGTAGGGACTTTTAGCGTCTCTAGCGGTCGCAGGATTTACGTGAAACGTTCACAACATGCGACGCGCACAAATGGGAAACAACAACACGGTCGGTTTTGCGTGTTGTGAGCGTGACGATCATGTTTTAAGTGGTTAATTGCTGCATGCCTAACACACCTGCGTCCCTGCGATAGCTTCCCAGCCCCTTTGCACCTCCACCGCCAAACACCTCAACATCATCTCCATGAGTCTTTAAATTATTTTATTTTTTTGGCCCATGGATTGGTGTGCAGCGGAATGCCTTCCTGCTTGTTCACAGTTGAGGATTCTCAAGGCCATCGGCAGTATTAAACTATTTCACCATGGGGACCATGTGCTTAGTGAGTTGGGGTTTTTTTGTTGTTGCATTGTGGTTAAGTCACGTTCACTGAAGTGACTTCATTGAGAATAACCAAGTGTTTGAGGGGCATCTGAGAAAAAAACTTGATAACGCACAACAACTCATTGTCACGAAAGTAAGATTAAGTGGACGGAAACAAGTGGTTAATGGCAATAGCAACTATGAGGAATGTTTTGATTTAAAGCTTTCGTGACTGCAGGGATTCATAGTCTTGGTTCTTTCGGTAAAGTCACGTAGAAGGGAATTTTTTTTTTTTTTACAAATATTAAACAAAAAATATTTTTATTGTTTTATATTTGTATTATTTTATTATTTCCCTTCTACGTGACTTACCGAAAGAACCAAGAATATGAGGAATGTATTTTACAGTCGTAACAATATAAATGGGGGTTGTCAAGTTCCAGGAAAGCCCTCTGCTGACGTTTTACACCATTTTACCACAGACTGGGCACTAAGTGAAAGTTTTTTACATTTGAAAAGAATATTCAATTTAGTGACTACTATACATTTTTAAATAGCTGTGCACACTGGTACACTACATTACCTTGGGGCTGAACAGCAAGTAATTCTATCTTTATATATATACGGTGGAAAGTCACAGTCACTGACGTAATCGTTCACTTTGAAAGTCAAGCAGGGTCGCCATCTCTCCCCGTTTCACAATTCCTCCAGCGACGTTATCTCCCCATCTGGCAGATCTTCTTCGGCATCTCCGCAATGCACCAACACCGATCCAAGCAGGAGTAGCTAGCCCCCCCCCCCCCCCCCCCGGCTTCCAGCGCCCCTTCCACTACTGTAAATCTCTGTCTTCCACCGCAGAGAGAGATTTACAGCGACTGACTTTCGTTTGGCATTGTCCAATGTTTTCAAAAGTTGGCTTTCAACGGCCGCAAGTGCCCCCCCCCACCCTCCACTCTGTGTGTGTCAGACTGCCGTTGGCTCCATTGCTCAAAGCTCAGCACTGAGAGTTTCACAATGTGCCGGACGGTTGAGCACCAAGGCATATGTGGTACTGTTTCCGTCTATTTTATATCATCATGGTATTACTACTACTACTATGATGATGCACTACTTAAAATTGTTGTATATGCCAATAGACCCGACTTTGAATGGTACGCCTTGATATGTCCTCTGTTGGTAAATGGTAGAGTTGTGTGTTGAGGTTTTTTTTTAATGACACTTAACAGGGTTCAATTTGGTGCATTGTGTATTAGGCATGTGGCGATGCTTCGATTAGTCGTTTAGCGTCGATTTCCACGCTCACCATATGCTCATGCAAGAATCGATGTTTTATCAATATATAAAATCACCTGGATAACATATTTTATATGGAACATCTCATTTGCAAGTGTGTCCAGGGTATCAGTTGACACGTGGCACGTGTGTAACGACACGAATACAAACATCGTTCGCTTATAGCGATTTATGCAAATTATGAATAATACATGTATAGCCAATCGCTTACTCCGGCTGCTTTGTTTTAAACGAATGCACAAGCGAGACACCAAAACAATGCAAACGAGATGGTACAAATTGTACAAGGGGACATTTATCCTTGAATCGAATTATGACGATCAATCACGAGGGAAACATGGGGGTGGTTTTGAGTGGTTGGTGTCAATGGTTATATGCCTATTATGCATACTCTGCACGAGATTAAAGCGAGGGTTTGTGGAGGTGGGGTACGGGCAGCTAGAAAATCGTTCACACTTGTGCATAAAATGTGTCCAATGATGCGGAACATCCACGTCGGTGGGGAATGCATGTGAATGACCGCGTCTTGCCTCTGCCATACGGAAGCGCAGTGGATTTGCGCTCGGGGGTGAAAAAGAAACTGGGAGCCGTCTGTGATGAAGTGGGCACTCAGGAATACAAAACGGCCCGTGACTTGACAACAAAATCTGGCTGTCAACATGGCTTGACTGGCGTAGGAGGTACATTGCTATCAGTGGGTGTTGATTCAGAGTCGTTGCATATACACTACTGACGCGCACGCGTGCAAAAGCGACTTGCGTGCAAAGGCACCGCTGGTTAACTTGGCCAACTTGCAACGGTGAGCGCCTCGCGCTGAATTGGAGCCATGTTGCACGCCGCGTGGACGTCTGTTCCTACTGTACGTTTCTCACTTGAATCCTTGTTTTTGCATCGTTTGCATGACACCTCAATAAAGGTTTTGTTTTGTCCGCCACTCGAGGTCCTGCTGCTGCACTGAACGCCGAAACAAGTTGGCGTATTGCAAATTTCTCGTCGAAGTATGAATGGCTCGGTGCGCATGTACTTTGGAAAGTCGACTCGTTTTAATTGGTGTTGCTCAGCTCGATTTACGTACATCTCGGAGTGTGCGTTCCTCCACACAGGTTTGTGAGTGTTGGTTTGCATGACACATTTGTGGTTAGTTTGTCCTCAGGAATAGGCAGTCTGATGTTCAGAAAGGAGAGGCTGTCTTTTGTTATTAACCAAAGTCAATGTTATCGTTGGGTGACAATTGTGAACGAGTTGAAATGAAGGCATGCCGTTCCTCTTTGGAGCAAGAGGCAACGCCCGCGCACGTCATCGATGTTTCTTACGAAGAAGTCGGCGTCCGTGCCTTATACTATTGAAAGATGTGTAGTAAGTTCGAGGAGACGATGTCGAAGTTGAGGCACACTCTGTTTATTAACTCCGGGACAGGCACAATAGTTGAAGGGGTATCGGCCCCTTCACCCGTACTATGGGAAACCCACCCTAGTCCTAAGCCCTCTGTCCTGTCCCCCAGTCCTCCTCTACTGGGCTACGGGAGGCTGACTGATCTGGCCCTGGCAAGCACAGATCTCGGCACCAGCTAACCAGCCTTGCCCTGATAAGGGCAGCGGTCTGGAAGCTCTTGGGCCGCGCCACTGGCTTACCCGGCTCGGCCCTTATAAGGACGGCGAGACCGGGGAGTCCCAGGGCCTAATCTCCGAGTCTTGGATCTTCACTGGTCAGCTTCGTGTCGAACTGAACTCGAGCTCTTTGGGTCTCCACCTTTTATAGGGATCGCCTCCGAGGGCTGGGGGCGTGGGCAATAACTGATGCGGACGTCGGTGTGACCACCCGTGTATGTGAGTGCCGACAGTCCTGTGTTTGTTGTCCGCCGTTTCTCCCGTAATAACCCCTACAGATGTATTGTTCCAAATGCCCCACAACTGGTTTGAATAGCTAGGGCCCATGCGTGTGCCCGTGGCCACAACGTGGGTGTAGTGTCGGCCACTGGCGGTGAAATGATTGTGTGAGCACGAGTTTGGCCAACCGCAACAGTGGTGTCGTTGACCCGGGGTCTGTTCAGCCCAGGTGTTGAAGGATTGTGTACGTTGCCTTTAAGCCGTCATGATTTGGAATGACGGTGTACAGCGAACTTAAGTCCATTGTGAAAACCAAACGTTGAGGACCTGTGAATCTAAGGTTGCTTGAAGAGCTGTAGGTTTCATGGTTGGTTTCTTTAACGTAGGTTGTAATGTACGTACAAACGGAATAATTGTCCAAATAGCTAGATATTAGCCCAGCAGGACAACTTCATGCTGATACAGTCGAGCGGCCTGGGTTCTTTGCTTTGTTTACTTTCGGTATAAAATAGATGGTTGATGTCCAAGGAATTTGAATGATGAGGTTATTGGCAGTCTCGGATAGGGCACCTTGACTCACAAGTGAATCAGAATCTTTATTTAGGCTGGAGGAATCTGTTGAGCTGTGAAGCTCTTTTTTCAAATATGTCCAGTAACAAAGTGTCTTGAGTGCTTGCGGGTGGCTCGCTGCAAAGTCATGGTCGATTTTGGGGGGTAAGAGGAAGTGTCACTCGGTTATTGGAATTCTTCCTCCCGATGTAGATCGGTTCCACCAGAGCACTGTTGAGCCCCTTCAGCCGATTTCATAACGATGTCATCACTTGATTTGAGAGTTGCGGGGAGCTTTTATCTCAGCGCGGTATAGGTTGAATGTTGGCCATCGTGTTGCATTGTAACGAGGCAACTTGCAGCTGTATTCGGTGAAGGAGGCTACTGAACTCTCCAGCCAGAGCGTTCACAGAGAGGTATTTTACGGCGGAGTCTGTGGACGGGTGCAGCGAAGTCGGGGTGGTCCGTAACTTGAGGTCCGTGTAACGTCGTAAAAAGGTCATTGAATGGGTTTGGGATGTCTAGATTGGCTCGAAAATAACCTGGGACCTGAAACAAAAACATAAAAATTTTCCGCTTTGTTAGAAATGTCAAATTTGTGTTGTACACATAAAATATTCCGCCCGGTATTCCAAAATAAACATTGCACCATGTTTCTGTAGAATATTATGTATCTAGACTCAAAAATATCGTCAATGCCAACATTTTAAAGCAAATATCTTATTCCAAAAAGGGCAAAATTAAGTATATAGAGGCGAGGCTGGGGTTAGGGCTAACGCTAGGTGCTGGTTGGTGAGTTAGGGTTAAGGTTGACGCTGTGGTGCTGGTTGGTTATGGCAGGACTCGTGTTTGGTTTGCTGTTGTGCGTCACACCTGAACATGGAGGGTGGGTTGAGCCCCCTCCCCTGCTGAAGACTCGCCCCCCCCCCTTCTAAAACTTAATTCTGTAAACTCTAAAATGTGAGGTTCGAGCTCGCACACAATTCATGTTAAACACAAGCAGGTCACATCCATACTCGTTCTGTTGAGCGTTGAACGTTATTTTAGAGGTTTAACATTCACCGTGCCGGTGCCCCCACCCTCTCTCAATTGGCAAATTACTGTATGGCCCTTTCACTCATTTCATGTTGAGAGGGTCGTGCCAGTGGTGCTGTCCGGTCAGAGGGTGTTGGACCACGAGAGAGGCTGACGAGAGGAGGAAGACGGTTACCGTAGAAGTTTTGAGCTGGCCGAGTAGAATCCTGAGTGTATCGATTTTCCAAAGATCGAGCAGCGGAGAGAAATAATACTGGAAGATAAATCAGCGGGTGGAAACGATACAATAGTTTGGACATAATCCTAATTTACATTCGTTAGGGTGGTTTTTTTCGTCCTTAGATCTCAATGCCCCACCTTAAATGGAAAGCAGGAAATTAACAGAACCAGGGTAAATGGCCAGAACTTGATTGCCTTGTTAGCAAATGTAAATCATTGGAAAGCCTGGCAGCTGCACCGCCAAAAGCCCGATCACCCCAAGAACAGAGCCTTCACCTTGGGAGTACTTAGAAGAAGGCAATCCGAACATCTCAGGGACCTCGTTGGAGCGTAAAAATGTACCGGTTCCTGCAAATATTTTGGGGCTAACCGATTGAGTGGACCAGACAGGATCGTGGTGAGGAGGGACACCGGGCTGCACAGGAACTGCGCTGTGACAAAGGGGCTCTACAATAACCACGGGCTGTGAAAGCATTTCCCTCGTTATTCGCGAACTTGCTGTCCGCAATTTTAGCAATCCGCGAATCGCATCTTGAGCGCGACACAACTGCATCGAGAAAGCGATGAGATTAAAGAGATGAGAGGGATACGTGATTTTAATGTATTAGCTTGGTTAACTATTTATGGTCATTCATTAACAAGATCGGTTTTCGTAGGCCAATAACATTATCCGCGAAATGTTCTATTCACGAGCATCTCCGAAATGTATCCCTCGCGAATAACGAGGGTATACTTGCACATGCATACATAGTCGTCGTCCACCCTCGATACACCGACGCCCTGTGTCGCCGGGTAGCGGTGATTAATCTAAAGTTTTGCGAATTCAAATCCGAGATGGCCCTTCGTAAGTAATCCTGTGAGTCTTGATACTGAGAAGATAGAACAAAAAAACCCTGGGGCCAGCAGGACACGTTGGTCCAAGAGATGCAACGCAACACGCGCGCGCACACAGAGAAGTCTTCGGTTTGGACTTGCCAATAGAATGGGACGCCAACAAAATGACCGTCCGTGGTGGCCTTGAGCACTGCCACGTGGATGTAACGGGAAGTTCTAGTGGTGGCCGGGCAGGCGCAAGTAGCGGATTGACGGCGTAACGGAGAAACTTTAAAGAGAGAAATGTTGGCCTTCGGGAGGCGATCGCTGTGACCAGAGGAAGGAAGGAGAGGAAGTATTCCATCCAGCCCCATAGTCAGCTACGTCTGACAGGAGATTGATGTATAATATTTGTTTACGGTGAATGTGTCGCTATGTACATATTCACATTTTATTGAATTTCTTTTTTATCTTGGTTGCTCTGCTTTGTTATTTTGTCATCTTGATAGATTTTAAATATATTCATACTTTCTCTACGCTACTATTTTGCGGGGTACTTTACTTTCGTCTCACGGGCCTTCTTCGCCTGGTTATAAATAAAGTTTACGTGCGCGCACGTGCATTTCGGGTCAGGGCACACAGAGAGCACGTTCCCCCCCCCCCCCCCTGCAAACCCAGCACGGTGCACAGCTGGCATCCTGAAGCGTGGCCTGCAGGTGGGCGCAAGCGAGTGGGAGATGGAGGGGAGGGGGTGAGATGGGGGGGGGTACTCAGCGGGGCGGTAATGAGTGCAGCTTGTCTAATGCTTTTAGTCTGAAAAGAGGAAATTAGATCCTCGAGTAGGGAAAGTGCCACTTACACGCATTGCTTCTAGCCGAGACTTTCTCCTATAGCAGGAGGCGGGGGGGCGCGGTGGGGATGGAGTGGTTGCGTGTGTGTGAGTGTGTGGGGATATGGATGGGGAGCGGTGGTGTAGCGGTTAGCGCGCTGCGCTACGAACCTAACGACCCGGGTTTAATTTCCGCTCACGACCATCACCAGTGACGATTGTTTTAACCATTCCTGGGCCTCCCCTAGGTCGACTCAGCCTCAAATGAGTACCTGGTGCAGTGTGTAAACATCGCCACTGGGGATACAAAGGCTGCCGGGCGTAGTGCTGGCCACCCACCCCGTCGTGTGCCGTGCTGGCCTTCATAGGTGCTCGCTAACAGCACTTGCCCCAACAGTCTGTTCAGGCTATTCGGATGTGGTGTGGAACAGGAGGATTCGTTATGCGATGATCGCGCCTTTTTACATTTTAGTGTCGAATTTTTTGTTCGAATAACTATTGTGATCTTTTTTCCAAAAGCACGTGATGCATGCATGCAACACATCGCGGGTTAATGTAACGTTTATTTTGATTTACTACACGGATGATAGTGATGATGATGATGATGATTCCGTTTAACTAGATGCCCGGTTCTTCTACAAGAGAGATAGGTGACAGCCACAA